TAATATATATACATGATCTAATGTGATGTGAAGACAGTCATTTTAGATTGACTGATACACACAAACAACAAAGTTATACACAATCTAACCTCTTTTAAGCAGCTCTTTGGGATGTGAAGTTGTATCAGGATGAAAGAAATCCAAACGTTCAATAATTTCGGGATATTCTTTCTGATAATTTGGAAGTAAAGATAACAAAGAATATATAAATATATATACTAAATAAGCAAGATTATAAATATGGTATTATTAAACATTAAGCATTCTACAGTCGACAAATGATCAATGGATGTGTGAAGGATAAACTGCCGCTTTGGACCACCTCAACGTGTGTTTATAAATTCACCTGCTCGTGTGGAGATAGTTACATTGGCCGCACAAAGCACACACTTTCCAAATGCATGTCTGAACATTATCCGGCATGGTTAGCACAAGGACAATGCAAGACAATTACTAGCTCAATTCTCGAGCACTTGGTGAAGGCACACCACGTAGCTCCACCAGAGCCGTCTTTCGAGATCATCTACATGGTGAGGCCAAATGGTACAAAGGGCGTCAGGTTTCGGCTTTTTTGTATGACGGAGGCTCTGGCAATTCGTCAATACAACCCCGAACTCCGTATACAGAAAAAGTTTGTCCAGTCTATTATTCCACCTTTGTCTTGACCTCTTCACTAGGTGTTCCATGTAAAAAATTTTGATTTTTTTTTAATTTCCAATTTAACCTTTAGTTTGCTTCTGCTTTAATAATTAATTAACTATTATCACTCCCATAAGTTCCTTTTGTACATTTTCACACCCTCTTCACACTTGTTAAATGGACACTCAACTACCTCTATTCTTACTCAATTGCAATTTTAACCTTACCAAATTTCTACCTCTGTGCCGTTGAGTACCACGTAATTTACAACTTTTATTTTTTACTTCTAAAGCCACTTTCGAGTAATTATATCAATTATGTCACCCCCTATTACTCATTAACAGACTACTATACATTTTTGGTAAATGCAAATACCACTGTACAGCCTCTGAAGATGATTTCGTCGATAAAGAAAATTTTCCTCGCTAAATTTGTCTTTTATTTTCTTCATGACATTAGATTTTCTCGTAATTGTTGTTAAGCTTTGAATTAATGCTGATATTCAAAATGATAAATTAATAAAGCCTGGAAATACAAAATATATTGATGAACTATTTATTTCTTCAAGTCTGTCAGAATCACTAAGTCAAGAATTTCATCGATGACATAGAAAAGAATAACAACATAATATTTACGGGTTTGAAGGAGGTATAGTTTATGGACAACCAATCACCTCTAACTTCAGTGTTAAAGTAAGTTATATCAGAAGTGTTTCATACAGAGGATTGTGACCACATGAAATATTTAACACAAGACTACTGCAGCAGTTATATAGCGCTGACTGATAAAAATGGTTGGAAACTATTCACATCAAACAATAGTGCTTGCTAGTTAGATGGAATTTATCTAAACACTAGAAAGTCGTTTCCCTCGATCGGAGTAGAGCTCATCGTCAGTGTACCTTGATTATTGATTCTGCTTAGAGAGTTGAATAAAATCAAATCAATTGGGATCATATTTATGTGCTTGGCAGCCAACCGACGTAGAACTTACTGTTGAATAAAGTAGTCAAGATGGGTCAGTTACATAATATGGAGAGAGCTTCAAGTAGAACCACACAATTTATAGTTATAAAACACAGAAATTTCGAAAGAAAGTCAGTCTAATGCAACTCTATGATGTCAGTAGCTGATTTCAGTATGTAGCAGATAGACGTAGTGATAATGACTTTGAGAATTTGTTTCTGGATAGGAAACAGATTGCAATCCGTATGAAACTTACCACGGAATAGTTTACAAAGGTCGAAAAACAACTTTTCTGCAGGTGAACGTCAGCTTAAACACACACACACACACAAACACATCTGCAATCAATACAATAGTACTTGACTTACTTACCTCCCTTACCTGACAAATAAACATCAGTAAATGGTTTCTGTTAATATTAAAAATGCATCACCCCACACATTGGTTACTTTTTGGTCAGAACTGCACTCTCTACTCTACAGACAAACGATTGCAAATAGCGATTCAGTTCACTGGTGTAGCTTAACTTCCAAAGCCTATTAGAACATTAACATGTTATGAAGTTATTTTCGTTAGTTGTGGACTAGCAGTAGAATATATTTTGCGCGTTTCGTCTAAATTCGGAACTCATCAACTACACGTATCTGTATTCCCAAGTAAATGGTGGCATTCTCAGTGGGACTCAAACTCTAAACGCAACGACGAGAACAATATAACTTACTGGAAATGCAGACACATTCACTTGACGAGTCCCAAATAAGACGAAATGTGCATCATAGATTCCAAAGTTAGTCACCGTCAACCAAAATAACCATGATAATCCTTAGATATAGCCGAATTGTTCATACCAGGAGCCGAAATTTCAACAGAAACCGATCATTTCTGTCCAACATAACTGATCAACAGGAAATGCAAAATTTACCTGAAAACTAGCATACTATTGTAACCACAGATTACAAGAGACTGGGTAACGGAAATGTTTATTTTGGAATTTGGTACCTCTGTTGTATAGCAATGTAAACCTTATCTGAAAACCGTCATTTCCACAGATCTTTCGTGTTGTACTACTTCTGCACTTTGTATTGTGTTTCTCGTGTTTTGTTTCTTTTATGTTTTGCCGCAACCCTGGTTCATTTGCTCTTTTCGACAACTAATCTATCTTTCCGCTGTTTGATATTTTTATGCCGATGAACGTCTCTTTATATACTACTGATAAATCTTACCAGTAGCCCACGGCACACTGTTGAGAATGTACGTGATTTATGTATATATATATATATATATATATATATATATATATACATATATATATATATGAATAAGCTCAGATGATAAGCATATTTTTAGACTATGTGAAGTGAGATGCTATGTTTAAAACACCCGTGCACACAAAGAAAACAATATAGACAGAGCGGACAATCAAGAAACGTATGTGTTACTTTCAAAACTCAATTATACAATACTGGACTAATGAGTCACACATCCACTGTGTAAGGAATAATGATACTACCCAGTTACCTAGGCTAAAATAGGCGGGGTGGGGCTCGATCCCGGGACTCACTCACAGAAAGTTGAGTACTTAGACCAATGAGCCATATCTCTACACTCCCCAACAAGTATAATAAGCGTTAGCGTCTGTGAATATATATACAGTTATACTCAATTGCTATTTAAGGCCGTACCGCCACCTAGGCGGTTAAAATAGAAACACCTAGTTGTTATTTGAATAGTCATCTCATGTAAGTTGAATTTCCTTTTAATTCATACATAAATTAGGATACCATAAGCAATACTGGTCACTAGACACTGATAAGAAAAACAAGTTACAGAGAAGATATCCTATTTCCTTTAGGAGAAAAAACATAGCATTGAACGAATCGGTTTAGCACAAGGGAACATTCAGTCGTTTCCCTTTTCAGTTTTGTTAGGTAGCAGAAGACAGTATTCGTGAAACCAGTTAGTTAGAGATCAAATTACTTAGAACTCAATTACCTAAAACATATTTTTATGTACTGGACTATGAACTAAGCTTCGTGTGTGGAGGGAGAGGTGGGCTGAGGATTCTAGCTACTCTCACAGGCTGAACTAGGTACAGAGAGATTAGAATCGGGTAGCCAGTGGCAAAAGTCAGTTTTTAAGCCAATTAACCACATCCAAAATTCAAACAAAAAACAAAAGGTAAACCATGAATGAATAACGCTCTATACTACTGATCGATTGATATCAGCAGCTGGATACCACTCGCACCAACCAGGTTGAAGTGATCTAAACTACGGATGGCCACTTTGACCACTTACTGCCGAACTTAGTGGCAACTTTCCCGGTTTTGACTCAACTCAGACAGCCGAATTAGCCCAAACCTCCCGATTTCTGGGTAAATACTTGGACAAACTGGTAATACATTGAATCAAATTCGCAATGTGTGGTCTGCTTTATACCAAAAGTGACATTCAAGAAAGCAATCATGAATGGATGACACTACGTACTACTGATTGATTGATAACTTGCAAATTTTGAATTTGATATAAGGTAAATCAATTCTAGAAAAATGCAGCCGACAAATTGTAACGTGAAATCACTGGACATTAATTTGACAGGCGTTCTGAGCAACCTCATAGACTTTTGGGTCTACAATGGTACGTATGCAAAATATGACAGTGTGCCGTAGTATGAAAGATGGAGTGTTTATGAAAGAAAAAAATTATACATTCGATAGGATGTAACACTTACCTCAACGCACGATTTAGGTAAGTAACCTGAATGACGAGATTTCAATGAAGTGGCTAGTAACCAATCCGAGTTCGGATCTTCATGAACCAATAAGAAACGGTCGTCAACAGCACATCTAAGAGGGATAAAGAATAAAAGTAGTTACTACAAGTTAGGAGTGAAGCGTGCCTATGACTTGGGGACTTCCGAAGTAAAAACTGAACTGAATTTTTAAAGCGAAAGTTTGCACAAAAGTAAGGTACTTTAAGCTGGTACAATCTACTAAATGTACACATAAAGATAAATAGAAAATATACAGAGAAACTATATTGGGCAGAAATGTACGAGAAAAGAATAATCAGATGGAGAAAAATGAGGAATTAATCCAACTAGGAGATTATAAAGAGTGGATTCTTCACGATCACCGAGAACGATTTTGAGCCATATCAACAATAGTCTGAAGCTATTAGTTCTTAGAGTCTTCAGCACCCCAGCCAGGCAGCTTACACCTCCCTACGTGGCTTAAACTAAGTCACTAATCAATTTCTGAATACTTTTGCAATGATGTAATGACATATTTTACTGTGCTTCTGTAACTATGAATACTATTGAGTAGATTTCAGAAATGATGAAGACGAGATGGAAACTTTTCCCGCAGGACTCATTTCATCTTAAAGTTTCTCGTTGCCTGAATACAGTCTGAAGTCCACAAATCATTCAAACCAACTGTTGCGTAACATACCGTAAAGATAAAGGCTTTAAATTATTGAATAAAAGAAAGCGGTTAGTGAAGAAATATTCAAATGCATATCTTCATCAGGGCATTATTCCTCTCTTTTTCATTTTCGCAACACTTATTTTGACGTTTCATGGAATGTTATGGAACAAGTGGTTTTAATAGTTTGGGGGCTATCTGAATCTTATGGGAAGTTATTCAACTTCTGAAAATATGTCATAAAACAATAAAAAAAAATTTAAATTTACTAAATTAAGTTTATTTACTCACCCAAGTCGGTCATAAGCATTATCTGGCTCAAAATCCTGAATAGCGCGTAAGCGTTGTGTATGATATTCAATAGGAAGCTAAAATTATTCGAAAATGAAAGTTTAGCAGATTAAAAATGAAAATCGAGAATACCAGCAACAAAGGTTGTGGTGAACTTTAAAATATCTTATTTGAAAATAAACTTTGCACAGTATTAGCACCAAGAAGTGAGCTTCATAAAATAACCAAGTAGAGCTTTATGTTCAAATACAGCTACACATTTTATGTGAAATTTGAGATACTGCCTAGAATTACAGATAGAAACAGATGGTTACCCTAAGTCACTAATCCCCGCGCCTTGGACTCACATCGGATGCCCACGGTGGCAGAGCAACGTGCTTCCGTGAGTGTCAGTGACTATTCGTTTGCACCATAGGTTCGGAATCAAGGTTTCCCGGTTCTCTTAGGTGAATCCACAATTTATATCAATGTCATAGTGGTTAACGGACACTAGCATTCGCCTTCCCGCTGTTATAATAATACTCAAAGGCAGTGTGGAGGCAATGAATACAGCTTACCAGGCATGGGATATGAATATGTGGCTACATGAAAGTAACTTGAAGGGAAGAGTGAAGTCCGCACACCCACAGCTGTATTAGGTCATTTACGGAAAGCATTAACGAACAGAGGAAATATCATCCCTAATGTAACTGTTAAGTATAATTTCCCCCGCCCCCAGAGGGGATTTGGTCAGCATTCTGCAGTAATAGCATTTTATAAGCAAAACGAAGTGTATACTCCACATAACACTTAAAGATAGTTTACGGAGAACATGGAGGCCATTCACGTCAATTCATGTGAATGATAAAAGATAGTATGCTCATAACCATGAAGAAAATCTGACTGGTAAATAAAATTTTTCGTAAGAAACTTTCACATACTGATTTCTAAAACATAATAGTAATAGTGCCAATGATAATGCAATGAAATGCAGAACAAAACCGGTAAAAACATGCAATTCAGTCAGCTTATAACAATATAAAGGGTAAGGCTTAACAGACTAGATATATAAGGTACTATGTGGTGGATTATGTAAATCTACTTATAATAAAAACTGAAAACTATACACGTATTGCTGCATATTACTTATGTACGCTTCATAAGAGCTATAAATTCTTAGTTAACTTATAGAACAGAAAAATATTTTACGTGGTACACAACCATTCGAACATTTCGAAAAATATTTTATGTACTCATATCAGACTTGCATTATAACAGATTTATTTAGTGTTTTTAAATATTGACCAGCATTCACAATCACAATATTTTCACTTCCGTGTCTTACCAACTATGCTTTGTTGTTGTAAGTCATTTTAGTGACTATTGGTGGCGAGGTACTCGGAAAGAAACCTCACATTGTCGATATAAGAATAAAACTTGGGCACTGTGGTAGAGTGTAATTCCATTATGGGTAAATTTTATTTTGATAGAGTCTCACAGTGTTATACAGTAAATATTACTGTATAACACTGTGAGACTCTATCAAAATAAAATTTACCCATAATGGAACTCACATTGTCGAGTCACAACAAATTTATACCCATTTGCGTACTTACATTTAAGTTACAAGTTACGGACAACAGTTTTACTAAGCACTATGGGACAGACCCATTTAACTAGGATTCCGCAACAGACACAATTCTTGCAGTTTTAAAGTCAGTGAAAAAATAAAAAATACATATGGCAAGACGAAGTGATAAGCACAAATGACACAAAGATATGTGGATGCCACACTCACACTGCACACAAACTACATCTAAGTCTTCATAGAACTACGTGTGTCCATTTTTACACCAAGCTTAATATAAACATAACGTAGGAATATTTTTACGTTGAAAATAAAACACTATGTATATGAAACTTGGAAAACACCATGAAATATTGATATGAATGCAACAAATTAACACATGTATCAACTTACACTAGTAGGTGGGATGGGATGTTTAAGGCGTTCGCCTGTCATTATGTCACGGGTGTAATACCTCGACAAACAGCCATCTAAACTGTCGAAAAATCTTCCACCAAGTTGAAAGCAATGGAAACGTGGGATAAGTCTGCATAATACTTAGACCGGTTACTATATTTATCTACCTGAAGTGAAAACAGACACGTGCTGAGGAAAGATATGATAAGACATATATGTTCTCCCATGTATCATTGCCATGAGTTGTACGGCTTAGACGTAAAAGATAACTGTTTGGTATGTTGAAAGTTTGTAGGCGCTTCTCTGCCTCAGCCCGATCAATGTAACCGTGATAGTATCTACAGTGCAATTAAAGAATTGACACATCAAGTATACGAAATATAAAATTTAGTAAATAGGATATTTGACAAATTAACCAGTGAATATCAAAATTTACTACGTTGGACTTTTATCGGAATTTATCTTTCATAAACTTATGTAATTTCATTCATTGGATATGGCCATCTTTCTTAAAATGTTATCGAAATGAACACATTAATACTACATAAATGCATTAAAAATATTTTAATAAAACAGGAACTCATTTCTAAGTGAATTGACAATTCTAGGATTTTGTTTAATTTTTGCATTATTTCTTAAGTAAAATACGTCAGGGAAAATTATTAACGGTTTAACTAGTAAGTGGCGTACGAAGCGGATAACCACATATTAGACTACCTGCGTGTGACAGAAAATAACGATGGGTGCTTGGTAATGGGTGATTTTAAGACGACATATTAATTAGAAGGAACCAACAACAGCAGCCTCACACAACCGCTTTAACGGTGGGCTCTCGTCTAGTGCTTTCGAGTATGTACTAGTAAACTTTATGATCGAATCATAAGCCTTCTATGCTGAATATGGTGTTCACACATCAGAAGGATGTAAGGGATCTTCGATAGCTCCAACCACTGCGCAACAATGACCACATATCCACTAAGTTTACATCTAAAACAAGACTTGATTCATGTAAGGATGAGGCGGTACACCATCTTCAGAGATTACAATAGGAACTTAGTTAACCTGACACCATATTGTTGCGTAAGTATTACGGTCCAAAAGCTGTTTCGTGTAGAGAAATATGAATTGCTGGTAACGAAAAAGTACAGCTGGCGGCCGCAGAGGATTTGTTTAACGGCTCTACTTGTAGCCAAAAGGATACATAGCTAGTAGACAAAAATTTGCTGAGTTATATTGGTGTTCATCGACCCTAGTACCTTACTCGACTGTCTCTAACGCCGGCTTACTGCGTAAACTAGAAAGTTTCGGCTTGGATTCCATCTGATACTACTGGCTTAAGGACCACCAACGTAGCAAAACTAAGTTCTCTGGTCGCTTCAATCTCGTTAGGTGTAGCGAGCTTCAAACTCAGAACCTAGTAGTTGGGAGTGGGTAGAAAAATTCGAATACTGCATTCAACGCATGTTAGACCTTATCGTTATGACTGCTTACAGTCTTCTACTCACTCACATTTTCGAAAAACTAAAAAATGAAGGCACTGGTAGAGGAATCTGTTGCCTCGGCTACGAAGGACATGCGACACAACCTTGATATATCGTAAAACAAATGGTGCAGAATACCTCTAAAACATGATCACAGATAAGTACTTGAACTTCAGCCAAATAATCCACAGGTTGAATTCAGAATCTTGTACACTGTGGTGAAACTGGTGGTATCTGCTGCCTTACTGAACGCTTCCATGGATCCTCGATCACAACTAAGGACATCATCAACCCTACTGTTTCACCCCATGACGACTAATAACTTTAATCAAACAAGTTCTTTTTTACTTGGAGCACTTTTTAGACGACGGCAGTCGAATTCACAACTCTTAAAAGTAATCACAAAATATGCCCATTAATTCATAAGGAAAAAGTTTTCGTTCAGCGAAGACATATTTCTTTTCAACGACTCCATTTTCAAGCTGTAAAGTCATATTAATACTACGGAAAAAGGCATCAAGTGGCACTAGAAATTGCTCAATCAATATTCATGTGGTAAGGATAAAGATAATCAAAACGACGTACTAAGGGGGTAGAGTTGAAGTAGGTGAATTACAAAACTTGAAAGTGAACCAAAATACACATCACCACATACAGATTTTCCTATTACCTTACGAACCCCAACTTAAATGCGAAGATATCGCAATTCCAAGACAACATAAGTATAACTCCATTAAAATGATAGCTTTTGTGGGCGAAAAGATATTTCCGGTCTTTACAATTGACACGGGAAATATCTATAAAATAATTTCCCATAGGGGGAACTGACAAACACATTCGAAGAACCAAAGTCTAGATGAATAGGAACAGACGCAATAAGGAACTCCACAAGACAGGATGATGGCGAAGTGTTCATAACACCGATTACTGTTCTAAACTTCTTCAACTAATTAAATCATAATGAACCAACCAGTTGCTTGCACTGTAATAGCTGTTACAGTGCTCTCGTACAGTGATCTGTTGTTCAAAGGAGAGGAATTCTCAGTTTTGTCACGTTTTCAGGTGGGAATTGGCCTATTTAGTTGTGACGGTCCATTACATGCTAACAATTCTCGAAAAGTATAGGAATGACAAGAAAAGTAGAAAAAGCTCATCCTCACTGTTCTAATGATGGAAGGTTCTGAACAACGCAGATATCTTCGGTTGTTGCCTCCGGCATACAGTAAGACAAACGTTTTACATGTAGTGACCTTCCCAACGAATTTCCCACTTCATATTCAATATCCAATAACCTCTCAGTAGAGTTGCTATTAACCTTGCGATTTTCTGCTCTCATTTCTTGTTGTTTCGGAATATCTCAGGCCTTTTGCAGGTCCCATCACAGCCTTATGGCTGGAATACTACAGCTTCGCTAAGCGCAATAAGACAAGGAATATCAAATATTGTTACATGTTCCTGGTCTTAGATAAATTTCTGCGTAGTTCGTCCTGCCACTCGACCAAAGTAGCCTCGTTCGACTCAAAAAGTAGTGGTGCTGGGACTGATTATATGCAGCTTGCAGTATGTGGTGTGTTAAGACCGTGTTGCCACCGTGAATGGAGTTGATCCTTTCACCTGTTGGTCACCCAGTGTAGTCAACAAAAAAGGAGATAATAATAACGGTTATGATAAGTGTTGGTTATGTACACTCAAATAGAGAAATAAGGAAATAAAACATAGAAAAAGACAGCTAATGAAATTTGAAAATGATATATATACATACATTCGGTCAGTGTCCCAGGCCATCAATGGTTTTAATTGCTTCATATAGACTTTCTCTAAAAGAATTGTGACTCTATGGAGAATAGGTGATGCAATAAGCATTTCATTGCATAAGATTTATATTTCTGGTTAGACAGCTGAGGTATATATGGCTAGCTTTTTGTGCGACCGTAAGAGGCATAGGGGTTTTAACTTTATCGTCTGTGTGCTCAGGGCTTTTGTCTCGTCTGACATCCAGAAATGTCCCACGATCGCGCTCAGCCTCTTTGTCAGAGCAGCTTCTTCAGAAGTAGCAGTTTCGAACTTTCCGATGTGAGAATGAACAGTCCGTCAACTTTGTGTCTCTTGAATTTGTATGCCGTTTGCTTTGGCCTAATTTCCTAAGTGTTTCCGGTCATTTAACAATCTGAAAGAGTCCTCTCCGTTTTCCACTGTCCTCCCTCGCACTGTCAGCGTTGAAAAGTATTGAAGAACTTGAGATTGTTCATGAAAATTAGGAATATTAAGAATTAAGAATAACACCACGTGATACTCATGTGGATGACGTTCTCCATAAACATGATTCATATTGTACGAAGTTCCATACCAACTTGGTTGGTTCGAATCTGGTTCATGGTTATGACTGGTGAAGCCAAAACGTGTCAGTACCGTGATAAGATTCACCCAATAAAATCTGATTCAGTTCTTCCTTGATGTCTCTATCAATGAAGGTGGACATTGACTGAACGTTCAATGAATGGGTTTACTCGAACCAGTTTCCTGTTCGTTGAAAGCAACAATCCTTGTCGTGGCCTAGACGCTGGCTCGTTGACAGCAGACCGTAGAAATTCGACTACAAATATTGATATTTATTATACTGGCGTCATTTGTACAGCTTTCTAGTGTATTGGTAGCAACCAATTGCGTATCAGATAGTGGAGCTGCTGTGTAATCATCAATAATGACTGCACAGATCTGAATTATAAAAAAAATACTTTTGCTCCTAAAATCCACAAGCCTGCTCAGCCTCTAGTCAAAATGGTACCCCATAGGCCCTACACAATTCGTCAGACATCTTCAAGGTCAGTATATACCACAAATTTAAACCTTTCAAGCCACTGTCTGAAATATCACTTATATACTTCATGACTACAATCTTATTACTATTGTACTCTATTTCATCTTAACTACCCAAGCACTAAATAAAGCTAAAACCTGCCCTTTTCATTCACATTATTCGCTCACTCGAAGCCTGGTTAGTCTGATGAAAAAACATGACAACAGCACCCATGTTTGAGAAAAACTGCATTTTCATCGAAGATGCCATATTCTAGGGTGACAGGTAGGAGGTCGCGCGAAGAGGATATGAGAGATTGTTGTCTATCGTGGATCCACCTGAAGAGGATGTCAGAAAACAGATCAAAGTGGAGATGTGTTGTTGAAGCCCTATGTTGCTCTTGGAACTCAAGGAATAATAATATAGTTAGTTGCTTAAACTTATGGCTTACATTCAAGTGGATGGTCTCCAACTGGGGGATGACTTTTGCAAGAAGCAGTTCAAAGGATGGCTATATTAACAAAAATTGATGGTGGCAATTGTGTAGCATATCCTTTTTTGACGTGGAGCTGCCTGCTTCATAGGGCTGATATTTAAAGAGGTTTAGTTGGTTCCGGTCAAGGCTAGTTTGCTTTTAGCAGCTGTAGCAGATGTTATTTTGATGCTTATTTGTCTTGAACCGGGTTTATTTCGCCATGAATAGAAGATCAACATTGCCTCTAAGTATGAATGCATCGTTTGTGTAGCAGAATGCTTGATTG